CCTCCCAAGTAGCTGGGACCACAGGTGCCCGCCACAAAACCCGGCTTTTTTTTTTGGCTGAGGCTGGGTTTGAACCCGCCACCTCCACCTCCAGCATATGGGGACGGTGCCCTAACCTTTTGAGCCACAGGCACCACCCCAACGCCCAGCTATTTTTTGGTTGCAGCCATCATTGTTGTTTGGTGAGCAGGCTGGATTTGAACCCACCACCTTAGGTGTATGTGGCTGGCGCCTTAGCCACTTGAGCCACAGGCGCTAAGCCACAACTGCAATTTATTTCTCACAGTTCTAGAGGCTGGCAAGTTCAAGACCAAGGTGTTTGAAGATTGGGTATCTGTGGAAGGCCCACTCCCTGCTCACAGAGGGTCATCTTCTCACTGTGTGGCATCTTCTCACTTATATGGCAAAGGGAGTGAGGAAGCTCACAGAGGGCCATCTTCTCACTGTGGGCCATCTTCTCACTTATATGGCAAAGGGAGTGAGGAAGCTCTCTGGGTCTCTTTTGCAAGGGCAGTCATTTATGACAGCTCTGCTCTCATAATCTAATCTCCCACAGGCCCCACCTCCAGATACCATCACATATGTTAAGATTCCAATATATAAATTTTGTGGTGAAATAAAATTTTCATATGTGCCAATTTACTATTTTTTTTCTTTTCTTTTCTTTTCTTTTTTTTTTGTAGAGACGGAGTCTCACTCCATCACCCACCTCACAGCAACCTCCAATTCCTGGGCTTGCGATTCTCTTGCCTCAGCCTCCCGAGTAGCTGGGACTACAGGCGCCCGCCAAAACGCCCCGCTATTTAATTTTTTTTTTTTTTTTTGCTGTTGTCGCAGTTTGGCCAGGGCTTGGGGCCGACGCCATACCCACTGAGCCACAGGTGCTGCCCTTTTTCTTTTCCTTTCTTTCTTTCTTTCTTTTTTTTTTTTTTGAGACAGAGTCTTACTCCGTTGCCCTGGGTAGAGTACTGGAATGTCACCATAGCTCACAGCAACCTTAAACTCTTGGGCTCAAGCAATTCTTCTCCTGCCTTAGCCTTCTGAGTAAGCTTGGACAACAGGCACCCACACAATGCCCAGGTAGTTTTCCTATTTTTAGTAGAGACGGGTCTTACTCTTGCTCAGGCTGGTCTTGAACTCCTGAGCTCAAGCAATCCATCTGCCTCAGCCTCTGAACTAAACTATTTTAGATACTTGGCTTTAGTGGAAGTTGGTCAAAAGCTAACCTGGGACTAGCGTGCTTCAAGATAAAACACTAGAAGGGAGGAAATAAACTCCAAGTCACAGCACAGTATACTGTGCCTTACAGAGACCTTGTGTCAATAACTGGTATGATAGTTGTTTCTTTGGAGCTACAGTCATGATTAAAAATGCTGCCCGAAGGACTGCCAGATGTCCTTGACACACATCCTATTTTCTGGGAAAAGATTACTACCAAAGTAATTGAGCTGGGAAGTGGAGACAAATTGCTCCCAGCAGCTTCAGCGCAGGTTCAAAGTACTGCAGTTGAGTGCAATCGCACTGCACTGCGCAGCGTTCCTTCCTCTAGTATGCGAGATAGCAGTGATAGCATTGCACCTACGGATTATCTGCAAGACAGGAGTCGAAAGGGAGAAAGACAAAAGGAACTACAGTAAGAGTCTGGAGCACCTAACAAAGTTACACCAATGGGAAGATGGAAGAGGGAAGGCCTGGAATTCCGCTGCAGGCCGCCCCGGGATGGGCCGAGGGTGCAACGATGATGTATTTATTTACATCGGAGCCCGCATCTGGCTGGAGCCCGCGGTGACGTCACGGGCCCGGCCGCGGGTCACGTGCCCCGCCCGCCCCGCCCCCTCCTGCTCCAGCCTGTGCGGCGGCCGCCTTCGGAGCGCAGAGTCCAGCCGCGGCAACCGCTCGGAGCTCTCCCGGGAACGCGGAACGAGGAGGGCAGTGGGGTAGGCGAGCGGGCCGGAAGCCGGAGCTGACTAGGAGGCGGCAGCAGCGGCGCGGCGGACCCGGGGAGACCCGGTCAACGCTCCTGAAAACTTAGGCGCGCACTCGCGACACTGCGCCCGCGGCCGGAGCGATGAAGATGGTAGCGCCCTGGACGAGGTTCTACTCCAACAGCTGCTGCCTGTGCTGCCATGTCCGCACTGGCACCATCCTGCTTGGCGTCTGGTACCTGGTGAGCGAGTCCGCGGGACGGGAGCGCACCTGCCCGGACTGGGCGTGGGTGCCCCGGGACCCCAGCCCGCGCCGGGGTTTGGCTTTACACTCCCCGAAGTTGGCTCCTGGTTCGGCCTCGGTGTAGGGCGAGGCGGCGCTCATCCGCCTAAAGTTATATTATTAGAAACTTAATTCTCTGGGCGAGCGTGTCCGCAGTCCTCCTCGGCTCAGCCAGCCTCGGCGGGGGCAGGCTGGGAGTTTGGGGCCCTGGAGCGGGAGGTGATGGGTAGTCCGGGGGCGCTGAGAGAAGGAGCGAGCCGTACGGTCAGCGCCCGGGCTGTGGGGAGCGGGGCTCCGCGGGGTCGGTGAAAGTGCACTCGGAGGCGGAACAGCTCCACTCGTAACCTGCCCGGCACGTGTTTCCTTTCCTCTAAAATCCCGCTGAGGTCTGTGTTTTGACGGGTGCGCACAGCCGTAGTAGAGGTGACGGGGCATATTTCGCTGCAGCTGTGGTCAGGGTTGCATATTTGGCATGCCCATTCTTCCTGCCCGCAGCTCGGGTTTGCTGTGCGTTTCTTCCTTCGCACGTTCGGATCCGGGGTTGAAGTGGTCGGCGGCTCTTACAGCCAGCCTTTGAATGGGTCCCTGTGCACATGTTTAATTTAAAGCTCTTACTCTGGGAAAAGATTTGCGTGTGATTTGCTGCGTTTCAGTCTGCCCAGGGAAGCCATTTTCTACTCAATTCTTTCTGCCCGTTGACAGGTGGTCCCAGTACCTTTTATAACAGATGTATTTGGCAAATCTGACTTTTTTTTCAGGTTGGAGCTTTTAAGATCTGATTTGTATGGGGAGCAATGATTCTCAGGGGTACTGAGGAAACCTGATGGAGTCTCTCCCTGTACCTGCCCTAGGTTGATTTTTGGCACTGCTACAATGCACCAGCACTGAACCGTATTCCACTGCATTTTGCATTTTCATGAATGGAGAGTTACACAGGAGTTACTTTGCAGCGAATAGCTCTGCATCTCCAGGAAATGCCTTAAAAATGGTAGCCAAATGGAATATGAAACTCTTCAGTGGGAATACATTATCCTCTTAATCATGAGTTAGAATTTTTTGTTGGTTCATAATTTTTTTCATGTAATAATGGACACTAAGTCGTATTCCCAACCCCTGTTGTGTACTGTTATAAGCAAAACATTCCCTCCTCCCCAATATGGGTGTTCATTGTGCTATTTATAGCTTCACGTTTCCTTTAGTTGCTGCCTATCATGGCCACACAATAGAAATTTTTGGCCTTAAAAGCTTTCAAACAGATCTTTAGTGTGTGTGGGTTCTTTCTGTTTAGTGTAGATGTGGATAGAGCATCAGCATATTGGTTTAACCTTGAATGTGCTAAAAGCCAAGAAATTCTTTATAGGAATTTAAAATTAGAGCAAAAGTACAGTGTGTAGTTTCAAAATAGTTGGTGCTTTGTTGATGATCAAGACAGACTATTTTATACAAATGTCTGTGTCCCCTTTGAAAATGTTCAAATCTTGCAAGTTACATCAGTGAATGTAATTTGTAAAATCTAGGGCACTGCATTAGGCACATGTACTACGTGATCTACGGAAAGATAAATCTACTTGAGCCCTGTTGTTGGCTGTAATCCAACCAGACAGTGTTGGTGTGATAAAAGGAGTACTCAGCATGCTTAGTCTACTGTGTGAGCGTGCTCATTGTGGAAAGTAGTTACTGGTGTGCCTGTCTTAGCGTTTGGAAATATATGGCCTTTCGGAAGATAATTACAAAGCTTTCTAGCAAATGGGAATAAGAATGTTGCTTTAGGGCTGGGCGTGGTGGCTCATGCCTATGATCCTAGCTCCACCAAGGTGGGTGAATTGCTTGAGGTTAGGAGTTCAAGGCCAGCCTGAGCAAGAGCCAGGCCTGTCTCTACTAAAAATAGAAAAATGAGCCGGGTGTTGTGGCTAGCACCTGTAGTCTCAGCTATTCAGGAGTCTGAGGCCAGAGGATCGCTTGAGCCCAAGAGTTTGAGGTTGCTGTGAGCTATGACACTATGGTACGCTACCCCAGGTAACAGAGTGAGACTTTTCTTAAAAAAAAAAAAAAAAAAAAAAAAGTTGCTTTTTGTGAACCTTGTATGTGGGAAACCTGGTTTAAGGGCCAGTAATTTTTTTTTTTTTTTTTTGAGACAGTCTTACTTTGTCACCCTCGGTAGAGTGCAGTGATGTCACAGCTCACACCAACCTCCAGCTCTTGGGCTTAGGTGATTCTTTTGCCTCAGCCTCCCGAGTAGCAGGGACTACAGGTGCCTGCCACAATGCCCGGCTATTTTTTTGGTGCAGTTTGGCCGGGACCACATTTGAACCCACCACCCTTGGCCTATGGGGCCAGCACCCTACTCACTGAGCCACAGGCGCTGCCCTGCCAGTAATCTTTTTAAAACCATTTGTGTTTCAGGCAGTGCCTGTGGCTAAGTGAGTAGGGCGCTGGCCCCATATACCAAAGGCGGTGGGTTCATACCCAGTCCCAGCCAAACTACAACAAAAAAATAGCTAGGCTTTGTGGCTGGTACCTGTGGTCCCAGCTACTTGGGAGGCTGAGGCAAGAAAATCACCTAAACCCAGGAGTTGGAGGTTGCTGTGAGCTGTGACAGCACAGCACTCTACCAAGGGCAATAAAGTGAGACTCTGTCTCTTAAAAAAAAACCAACCAAAATTTGTTTCACAAAACAACTTAGGCTTTTTTAGTAGTGAGTTTCCTTCATAGCTTTAAATGTAATTTGGTTATCTAAAACTTTAATTTTTTTTTTTAAAACCGAGTTTCACTTAGTCACCCTAGGTAAAGTGCTGTGATGTAATAGCTTACAGCAATTTCAAAGTCTTGGACTCAAGGGATCCTTCTGCCTCCGCCTCCCTAGTAGCTGGGACTACAAGCTCCCACCACATCCTGTTATTTTTACCAATGACACCTCCATCTGTCTGGCCTCTGAACTAAGCTCAAGGGATCTACCCACCTTGGCCTCTCAGAGTGCTAGGATTACAGGCCTCAAAACTTTGATTTTCATGAATATTTAATTAATTAATTTAGTTTTTGAGACAAAGTCACACTTTATTGCCCTCAGTAGAGTGCTGTAGCATCACAGCTCACAGCAACCTCCAGCTCTTGGGTTTAGGTGATTCTCTTGCCTCAGCCTCCCAAGTAGCTGGGACTACAGGTACCGCCACAATGCCCAGCTATTTTTTGTCGCAGTTTGGCTGGGGCCGGGTTCAAACCTGCTACCCTCAGTATATGGGGCCAGTGCCTTATTCACTGAGCCACAGATGCTGCCCTTCCTGGACATTTTAAAATAGTTGTGTGCTTAGGGAGCAGGGAAGCCCTGAAGAGAAAGACAGCTCCCCTACATCCCTTACCCGCTCGCCTCAGGAGCCATCTGGATGGAATAGGGTCAGTTATAAGAAACAGGAGGGTTTTCAGAAAAAAGGGCAGACACTCCCGTAAGAGTCTACTATAAGGGCTCATCTTAGTAAATAACTGCCTGTTTTGCAAGTTAAGTGTGGGAAAGGAATTCTTATAACCCTGACAGGATTGCAGCCATTTTAGAAAATTGAGTCAGAAACTAGCAGTGTCCTCCCCAGACTCCTGGAGTGCCTCAGGGCCAGAGTTCCTGGAAACATCCTACCCATAATCCTGACCCATAATCCTAAGAACGTGCCCATAATCCTGACTGGCCCTAGAGAAGAGCCCAGGGTGATACTCTGGGCTCACTGCCCCATTCCAGCTATACTGATGAGGCTAATAAAAGCCTTTTCAACTGTGAGAGCTGAGCTGACACCTGGTCAGTCTCCATTCTCCTTTTTCCCTCTATTAAAGTCTTTCTTTGCCTGAACTGGTCTTTTCTCCTTTCTTGCAGACCCTCACCCTGGTTCTATGCCAGAACCTCTTATCTTTTTTTTTTTTTTTTTTTTTTGAGACAGAGTCTCACTGTGTCGCCCTCCATAGAGTGCTGTAACATCACAGCACACAGCAACCTCAAACTCTTGGGCTTAAGTGATTCTCTTCCCTCAGCTTCCCAAGTAGCTGGGAAACGCCCAGCTTTTGTTTGTTGTTGCAGTTATCATTGTTGGTTAGCTAGCCCAGGCTGGGTTTGAACCTGCCAGCCTCAGTGTATGTGGCTGGTGCCGAAACACTGTGCTATGGCCACTGAGCCAGAACCTCTCATCTTTATGGTGTGTTGGGCCATGGTGGTGAAAGTGCTGAATCCTAGCCACTGTGAGCCACTGTGAGCCACTGCGAGCCACTGTACCCTACTTGGCCTGGTAGATTTTCTTACTGCTCATTTACAGCTAGAAAAACGGGGCTCGGCGCCTATAGCTCAACCGGCTAAGGCGCCAGCCACGTACACCTAAGGTGGCGGGTTCGAATCCCCAGCCCGGACCCGCCAAACAACAATGACAGCTGCAACCAAAAAATAGCCGGGCGTTGTGGCGGGCGCCTGTGGTCCCAGCTACTTGGGAGGCGGAGGCAGGAGACTCGCTTGAGCCCAGGAGTTGGAGGTTGCTGTGAGCTGTAATGCCACGGCACTCTACCCAGGGGGACAGCTTGAGGCTCTGTCTCAAAAAAATAAAAAAAAAAAAAAGAAAAACGGAGGCTAAGAGACCTTTGGTGATTTATAGGTCCCATGGATTTCTTTCTTTCTTTCTTTCTTTTTTTTTTTTAAGGAAGGAATTTATTTATTTATTTTGCAGTTTTTGTCCGGGGCTGGGTTCTAACCCGCCACCTCCGGCATATGGGGCCAGTGCTCTACTCCTTGAGCCACAGGCGCCGCCCCCCATGGGTTTCTTCAATCTGATAATAAAGCGTAATGATTTCAGCTCCTTATACTAGAGATCTTTTTTTCTTGTCTTTTATTTAATTTCAATTTACATGTGATAAAATCCACAGTTAAATGCAAATGTAACCCATATTCCTTAAGAACATTTCCAAAACTCCAGAAAGTTCCCTGGTCCCTCTTCC